TGCCTTTTTTTTTTTTTTTTTTTATAGAAAGGGTGAGGGGTGAAAATGCTTTTGCCTTAATGCGGTGTGAGTGTGTTGGTGGAGTTTTTACTTTATTAATACAGACAGATGGGATGTCAGAGTCTCCCACCCCCACTGTGTGTCTAAAAACTCATTGCCATAGACATGCATATGTATAAGTTCACATGAAATAGTTCAAGTATGAAATGGTTGAACCTCAATTTAAAGGCCTTTTCAAGATGTGAAGGTTTAGATTGTCATAGTGGAGCGATAGTATGGATTCATATAAACAAACCCACAAATAACGTCCCTCTACATCAGCGGTCCCCAAACTTTTTCCTGTGAGGGCCGCATAAGCTTTCGCTTCTGTGATGGGGGGGCCGGGGTCAGTCTGGAATAGAAAAAGGGTGACCGCAAGAGTACGGAAATGTAAAAATGGATTGTTTTCCAGAAACCCACACAAAATGAAGCCGCCTCTTGACAGATGAGACTGACAGACGTTTCTTTGCGCTGAAAGAAACAAAAACATCGTTTGTCCACTTTGGGTTAAATACCCTGCATTCTATTTTTCTCTTACCAAACCTTTTCGCCATGATCCCGTTCTCTGAGAGAGGGGCCGGTTTCGGATTTTTTTTTTCTGGCGTTGCCAGATAACGGCACAGAAAGATGCACCAAATGTCACCTTATTGTATCTGTGTTTATGAAATAGTTACTAATTAATAGTTAATAATGAAAACGGTTCAGAACTAAGGAACATTTTATTGCAAAAGCCCAACTTTATGATCAAAGACAAATCCACATCGATGAAAAATAAATCAAAATACTCTGTGGTATTTTCAGGGGGCCGGACCAAATGCGGAGGCGGGCCGGATCCGGCCCGCGGGCCGTAGTTTGGGGACCCCTGCTCTACATTATTATCTGAAATTTTACGTATAGACATGGTCATAAACTTGGGGGATGGCACCATTGTGCAGGGCGTATATGCTGGCGCATGTTTTCCATCCCCCACTATTACAAACATGGCTGCATAATGAAGTGCTTCTGAAGACAATAGACGAGCTCTGGGAAAAGTACGGCCCAAGGGACCACATCTGGCCCTCCTATAGTCTCTGGCCCTTGTGACCATGAAGTCAAAACATAAAACATGTATTTTTGGGGGGGCATTCATACTTTTAATTTATGTGCACACGTGTGGACACCAGTACAAGTGAGGTAACGCGCACGAGCCATGACTTGTGTCTGCCGTGTTGCTAACTCTGTGATGTTTTTGCTCTATTTAGCAACGTTTCCTTCCCCTTCAGCCATTATTTTTTCCCAAAAAAAGAGACTACTTATTCGCATGATCGTACTTCTAATAATATTTCGTTCTTTTGATTGAACACATTAATCTTGGAAGAGCCTTTGGAATTGTTGGACTGCAAATGTCTGTAATCTATTCATACAAGACGTGAGACGTCGATGATAATAAAGGCTGATATTCGTAGTTTAGTTGCACTCCATGACACCAGTCGCAGGCTGCTGCGCCTTCATGATTTATTAAAGCTTAATTTATGATTTGGGCCTTGGGCCGCCCGTAGCGCATGAATATTCCTGCAAGTCTGCTGTAGAATAAACAAGACAATGACCCAAATCAACAAAAGGAGTGTAGCAAAATATACCTGCATTGTATCTTCACCGCGTTGTTAGCGACTCAACCAGAGGATTTTATGCCTTCCATGTGGTTCAGATGCAATACGCTTGTAGCCTTTTTAATTTACTGTGCGGAATCTCATTCCCGTTCACTGGCAGGAAGTGTAATGAGCATACTCTTCACATTCCTCATTTAATTTTTCATAGACATGCTCTTATCTGAGGGATTTCCCTACTCTTTTCCATTTTTTTCCCTTTGTGGCTTTTTATTTGATGCTCACCCTCTATAAAGCACTTACCCAGCCTTCATGAATTACTAAAAAATCGCTCTCCCACAATATTATAGACACATCACGCTTAATATACTTCTGTTTGATCAGGGCAGAGGGGAGCTGTTACCATTATAGGTACTATTTTTTTCACTTAGCATATTCCGGCTGCCCAATTTCAAGGTGGAGGGCGTACATTCTTCCCCTTTTTTGCCAAGCAATTTCACAAGTTACACCGGGAGTTGTAACCTATTGATACGGAAAACAGCCCTTACGTATTTAAAAAAAAAAAAAAAAAAAAAGTGGGAGCACTCCAACTCAAGTCAAGCCAGTGCAAACTTGATTAACAGTCCAGCTATCATCTTAACATGTGTAAAATGCATAAAAACCTACATTGTGGGTTGCTTAAAATTTTAGAGAACGTTTTATTAGCCCATCTCCTCCAAAGCCTTTCATTTGTCTGCCTCAATATGTTCTAGCCTGGAAATCTAGAGTCATGGCTTTACCAACAATTAAGTCCGGGCATAGTATAATCAAGCGCGTTTCCGAGGCGAGGCAAACTTGAGCAAACAGACTTGAATTGACCCAATCGGCGAAGAGCGTATTTGATGTCGGCACGGGGAAAAAAAGCACTTCCAGTGTCGTCAGCTGCTGGGCTCTCAATGACTCTAGTGTATGTGGCATCTCAGCTTTGAAACAGTTGTCCCAAAATTATTATTTGGATATATTCTAAACGGAGTCCTGTAGAGTGTTATGCCCTTGAATCAAAGAGCCGGCAAGGTTTACATGTTATTCAGTCCTGAAAAGCTTGCATTGTTTCGTGTTTTCCCCCATTGTAGTCTGCTGCACCAGAGAACAGTGGGCAGTCTCAAGATGGATGATGGCACTGAGGGGGAGAAACACAGGGAGCATCAGGCTGAGGAAGATATAAGGCAGAAATAATGGTGATGGAGAGAGAGCGAGAGAGAGAGAGAGAAAGGGGGAGAGCAGGTGGTTTAGAAAGTAGCTGTGATGGAAAAACCGAAAGAGGAGGTGGTTGAAAACACAAGGGAAGAAGAGGAAGTGCAGCAGGGTGGCATGTGTTCACCATCCTGCGGCCTGATTGGCTGCGGGTCTGTCGGGCGGGCTGAGTAGAATTTAACCGGAGATGTGCGTCAGCCGCTGCAGTTCCAGGCCAACAGGCAGCCGGACGCTGCTGGAGGAGCGTTCTCACTTTATCTGCATGTGTGTTTAAAATCACAGAGTGGAAGAGGAGGGGTGCAAAACATATGTGCCCACCGAGTATTGATGTGTCCTACAAAGATGTAAGGCGTTTGAAGGAAACCAATGGAAGAGAGGCATCAATGGCATGTCTTTCCTCTCAATGTATGAAGTGCTGTGTATCTTCATTGGTTGTACTTGTATCTTTGTCATTGCTGCTCTTTTTACATTCATGCTCCATCTTGGAAAGTATTGTGTTTTCGGAAAGGGCCTTTGTTTTTTTTTTTTTGTTTTTTTTTTTAACAAGGTCATGGCAGATTCATTGAATATCGCCGCACTCCCTGCTGACTTGAACCTCTACTGTGGCTACTGCTCTCAGATAACGTCTAACTCTTGACCACGACTGATGCTTTAACTAACATACTGTATTTTCTTCACTCTCTGATTTTCAAAGGCGCTCTCCTCTCATAAAAGCACAAACGTTCTCTTTCTTCCCTTGAGTGAAAGCAGTCTCAGCTGTCGTGTTGAATGGTCTTTTCTGTCTGGGGACTACACAAAACATTATCAACTATTCATCGAAGTATTTATCCTCCGATCAAGAAACTGTTCTTTGCAGCTGCTTGTAGGTCACGAGTCGGCTTTAGCACACTGCCAGTGTACAGATTTTGCAGTGGTGAATGCAGATCAAGTGGAAAACTTCATCCTCTTCAACTTCCTCCATTTCTGCACATTCACAGAGGATCTTTTTTCCCTCAAATGTTTTTTGTCAGTAGCTGCGATGGCTGTGTATTAAACAACAATGTCACATTCCACATGAATGCTCCATTAGGTAACTGGCTAGGGAGAGGAATTAGCATGGACATGGCATGTACAATTAACATTCAACTAGCAGCTAGTTGAATGTTATTTGTACAGCTAGTTACTAGCTGCTCCGAAAAGGCCCATCCCAAGCGTGTAGTTTTTTTCTTTTGCCTTTCTGTTGTTGAACATTGTCAAGATTACTCAAATAAGTTATTTGAATCATACCGTTTTGGCATTATTATTATGACATTCAAGGAAAAAAGGCTAGCGTGTCACGTGCAAACATTAATTCGCCATCATGGCTCTCTCTTGGATTTAATGTATCTGACATCACTAAAGCTATAATACCATAACAGTGATGAGTTTTCAAATATACAAATATATTGCAGTTAGTTTGCCCTCACCGTCAAACTCAGAATGCATCAGTCACTACAAAAAAAGTGTGCTTTTGTCATTTAAAAATTGTAAACGTTTTTATGAAAGTCTCATTTCAAAAAAAGTCCTTAAAATGCGTCACTGACCAAAATACAGGGGTGGAAAAACAATGACTTATGCTCCGTTGGCTCAGCGAACCTCGCTTGGGGCGCCCTACAGCCAAGGCCAGTCACTCCACATTCATTCATAGCCTAGTTCATATTATGCGTATTGTCCCGCGGGCCAACATGCACCATATTCTTGTTCATGTTCCACTGCTGAAACATCATTTTGAAAGCCTCTCGGATCACCTTTGGTGTGTTAGAACCCAATAGCTTTTGTGAATGCACTGTTGGCTTTTGCATATTGTAGTCCTCGTCCCGCCATTGTGCCGTCAAGCTGAGCAGACATTCATATGTTTGTGATAAAACTGATGTCCCATATATTGTCGTCAATCGGAGAACGAACATGTGTAGCGACAGCATGTGAGGTCCTCGAAAACGTGTCTGCAAAGTAGTCATGGCTTGGAATCAGTAAAAATAGAAAGTCTGAGTGACTCTCTTTGTCAAAATGTGACCAGGTTAATATAATACCTGCTGCATACTACAAAACCCTTGAATTAATATCTTGCTTCCTGTCTGTCTGCTGTCTGTGTTTGTGTGTGTGCGTGTATGTGTATCCATCCAGTGCCAGAGCCTGCTCCCCCTAAGCCCAGTCCCTGCACAGCCAACCACGTCCACCCTGCCAGCCCTACGCTGCCACTCTCCTTCTCATTTTCTTGTGGAAATGACAAGCGCACTTCCTGCAGTAGCCAGCTCCAGAGTCCCGTTGCCCCTCAGTCACAGTGCACGTCGTCCTCTGCCGGCGCTCGCTACCCACCGAGAGAGGTGCCCCCGCGCTTCCGGCAGCAGGAGCAGAAGCAGCTACTGAAGAGAGGCCAGCCGCTGCCTGCAGGAGCCTTTGGTGCTCTCACGCCCTCCTCTTCCTGCTTGTCACCTTCATTACCTTACTCTTCATCTTCTACAAGTACCAGCAGCACTACACCAAAGTCTGCAGAGTTCACTGCAGGCCAACAACACTCACCAGGTTTGTGCACTTTTTCCAAGCCCTGCACTTATTCAGATTATTTCTTCATTTAAATTTCAACCTTGTGTGAATTTGTTAATTTTTTTTGTGCATCTTTGTTTCGTGATTTGAATTTTTTTTTTTCCCCCTCTTACAAAACATGGGGGGAGTGCTTTTCAGTCCACTCATCAGAAGAAATCTCAAAGCGTTTAGTCCCAATAGTTTTTTTGTTTGGTTTTTTTTAATGACAGTATAATCACTTTCAGTAGTGTTCTGCTGCTGTGGCTGTTGCGCCTGGATAATTAGCTGGCATCGTACATAATCTTCATACTTCCAAAATCATCACTTTTCAGGAGATCCCCAAAACGTTTTTTTCATCCATTAACATTGCATCACTAAAAATAGCAAACCTTTTCCACCATTTTAGACTTTTTAATTTGTAAAAATAACAGACACACATTTGGATTGACCAATAGTACAGATTTGTAGAAAAATATTTCAAATTCACCAAATTGGGGCAAAGGAGGTTTTGGCCTGACGTCACTGATTTGTTTTCACACATTTGATATCACACCTTAAATATTTACAGCCACTGCACGTCAGACATTTCGCCAAACTAGGTGAATTTGTTTGCATCTTTGAGACACTCCCTCATTTTTATCTTTCTTGTTTTTCATCAGTGCCTTTCTTGATCAGTTACTGCTCATTGCTTATATTACAACAAAAACACCTGTGCAGTGATACCATTTTCAGATGTTCTTTAAGGTAAACGAGTCAACAAGCTGCAGCGGCAATTTTTTATGTGACGAACAGCCCTCGGATTTGTCTCTGCTGAGGTTTTTTTTCTTTCTTTTTTTAACTATCAAGACCATACACATCCTTGCATATTTCCTGTCTGAGCTCAGCTTCAAGTAAGAGGCTTCTCTCAGCTAAATTTGGATAGAGGCATTGTTGACACAAGAGGAGAAAGCCTAAGCCTTGACTCGATTTTCAAGCCTCTGTTCTTAAGCAGTTGGGCTCATGTGGTCGATTGCGTTACCCTCAGTCTTTCTGCAGCATGTCAGGATCACTTTTACTGTCCAGTCTGGATGAGGTTATGATGACTCAAAAGTTGGAGATGGTAGCAGCCTCAAGTCGTCCGACACTTTGTACGTGTGCGCACACAAACGAGCACATCAGTGTTGTGGGTGTGTCGCTAGCCTGACCTAGTTGTGTCACCTCAGATCTGTGTCTGCCTTGCAGGCCATCTGACACACACATACACGCAGACACAGTTCGGTTTATATAAAGCTATTGTGTAGCTTTCCTATTTTTCAAAGACAATGAAAAAGACCCACGTACAGTATGTGCGGATATTCCGGCAGGCTATCCAAGCACAACACAAGCTATAAAGGCTGAAAGGGAATCACTATATCGATTCAGGGGGATACCTAGCCACCCCCTGCCCCCTACGCAATCCTCTCACCAGAGACACATCACCGCCCACCCCCCCACCCGTTTTCTGCTTCTACATCCTGGTCTATCCAGCTGACCTGGGATCATTAAGTAGTCCAGACCAGACTGGCTTTCCCAGTAGCAGGTGCTGAATTGGGGGTCTTTTAAGACGTGTGGGAACTTCAGCCCAACAGCTGTTTTGTGATCCAAGAGACAGTGCATGTAGCCATAAGGCGCTTTAAGGACCCTTGGCCCTATTGTTTAGGCAGCTTATGTTTGATTGAGGATCTGACTGCCTAGAATAGGCCTTTCCGTAATGAGGAAATCCAGACAGTTTTGATGTAAATGTAAATAAACAGATCAGTCAGTCTACGCATCCATCCATGTACCCTTCTTGTCTCTCCACCGCTTATCTTCATTGAGGTTACAGGTGAACCGATCCGATCTTATAACCTAGACCGGTTGCCTGGCTTTCGCAGGGCGCGTATAGACAAATATCACTTAAGATGCATGCTTTTGGAACGTGTGAGGAAGCTGTAGAAAACCCACACCAACATGGAGAGAACATACAAAGACCCCACAGGGAGGCCAGCTCCCAGATTCAACTCCCCACATCAGAACTGTTGGGCGGATGGACTAAGCACTAGTTTGCAGATCCTTTTTCCAATATTACATTTAATCCTGACATCTGTTATTCTAAGGTTTTAAAAAAAATCCAAAAACACGAAAAACACTATTGCCCTACAGAATTTAACACATTTTGAATAACGGTGATGTTTTTTTTTTTTTTTTTATATATACATTTTTTTTAAGTGCACACATCACGACAACATATGAAATAACCACAAAAGTATTTGGTCCAAAAGAAGCCCTGATGGTTTTCATTGCCTATCTTTGTGCTCTCACGCTCAAAGGCGTGGCAGTGAAGCCCTTGGTGGCCTAATTAATCCAGCTACGACCAGTGAAACAACAGAAGTCACCATTGCTGTGCCCCCCCCACCCCCTTTTTTTTTTCTTTGCCCAGCAGAGGTACACTGACATGAATGATGAGTTTTATATCCTTGTATCACTATTCCCCCCACCAGTGAAAAAAAATAAGCGCATGCCTTCTTTGGTCCAAGTAGGCTCTAAAGCTCTCCTCAAAGAGTAATGGATCAGACCTATTAGAATGCAAAAGACTACTAAATGTCCACTCTACTCCTGCTGCACACCACACTGACTCATCTATCCAATGATCCATCTATCCAACTCAATATATGCTCACATTAACTAGAGAGGAATTGCGTCGCCTTTGTTTTTGCTCAATGCTGCATGTACCAACCCTCCCCCTCTGGACATTCTTACTGCACCACCCCGCTCTCCCGATCACCTTCACCACGCCTTCCATTTTTTTAATTCTTGGCTACATGCCCATTTCTATGCAGACAGCTTGATTTATCAGTATTAATCTCTTGTTTAGTTTGTGCTTTAGCTCTTGTAGTCTGTTGCCATCCAGATTACAGCTATGGCGTTTAGATTCATTGCATGTAAACTGTTGTAATGCGCCAATAGTCCCCTAATTATCGGAGCACTTTTCATGATCACTAAGCTTTGGTCCGGATGGTTAGCAGTGAATAGGCACGGAGATGCATGCACAGACTTGCACATTCATGCATACAAACAGGCAGCTTTGTTCCCAGTTGGGAGCATGAACAGAAATAAAATGGGAACCTTTGTTTATTTTTTTTGGGGGGGGGGCGCTAAAACATAACAAATGAATGGCCTCTTCGTTGGATTGAGAATGAAACAGCACTGTGGAACTTTCACTGACATATTATGGATGGACACAATTTAACACTGCCAGATTTTTTGATTTGAATGTCAGGAGAGGGAATTGCAGGAAATGAATTTGATGACTTAAGGTGGAGGAAAGATAAGATGCTCTATATTTTATCTATAGCGTTATAACCACATTTATTTACATGTATATTGTTAGGCATCATACAATAAAATGAAGTAATATGCAAACCAATAGTGTTATCTGGACATCAGTAGTATTATTGATGCTTGGAGTGATCCTATATAGTGATCCAACTGCCCCTTGATTCCATGACACATCCTCACCTATGCGCTATTGGTGCCTTCTCGCTGAACCAGGTATTAGAAATTGTATCTGACAAGTTCCGACATTAATGGTGGCCCGATGGCCAGTATAGCACTGTGTCGAGCCACCGTGTTCCTTACAGATACTGGCCCAACAGTGCAATCTATTGCATAAGTAAATGCAATGATATTGTCACATTCTTACTTTTTACACCAAATGTTTTATTTTATACTAATATTGTATTTTAATATCGTATATTTTGTATACAGTGAAACTCCTCTCGGACGAAACCTACATGGGCGAAAATACCCCTTAATGTGAAAAAATCTTCATGCATTAACACCTTTCCCATTCTCCCGCACCCCCATACGACAAAAAAAAACCCCTGTTGCGTTATACGAAATCATTTTCTCTGCTCCTGCCTCGCGAAGACATTCACTACAACGAAGTCTAATCCAAATGTGACCTCTACTGCTTCGTTCGGAAACGGCAACAGCAACCACCACACTGGTTTACATAGTGAACGATGTTTATTTTGGTCACAGCTGCGAGTTTCCTGAACGCAACATACTCATAGCTGCTCTGCCATTGGCTTACCGAGCATCATCCTGGCCTCCGATTGGCCAAGAGGGACCTCACTGTCTATGTGTGTAGATACTGTCGCTAGATCCGTTGAAGATAGAGTGGAATGCATCCGATTAGCTGCTCAGAGTAAATTACTTGTGGCTCGGCGGACCATCAAATAAACGAACGTTTTCTGGAATGCTTTACTTGTTATAATGCAAAAAACCTTACGCTAACTGGAGCGGTAATTAGAGAGAAGGCGAGTTCCATCGCGCTAACTATGGCCATCGAGGACTACGAAGCGTCCCGTGGCTGGCTTTAAAAGTTCATTGCATGACGTCAGCTGAGCAACGCTGTCTTGGGTGGCGATCGAGGGGAGGTCGAGTTAGAGACAGTGAGATGGTGGAAAGAAAAGCCACCGGTTCAGGAAGTATTTGTTATTGTTAGATTCAGACGCAGCATGAACGTTGCATTGCTAAAATGGCTACAAAACGGACCTTTGGATGTCAAGCAGCTCAGACAAGAAGAGCTCTGATGCTGGAAATGAGGGTAAAAGTGATCAAACTGAAAGACGGAGGAAGCAAAATAAAAGACATTATCCAAGAAATTGATGTAAGTGAAAGTGAATGCTGATCGTAAATTTCGCAATTTCTTTCCCTTTTTTCTTTCTACGCTGACAATATGAAGTGTCAAATAAGTGTGTGCTCATACTTTTGCACTATTGGAATAAAAATAGAGTACACATACGTTTGTGTGTGCGTGTGTGTGTGTGTGTGTGTGTGTGTGTGTGTGTGTGTGTGTGCTTACATCTGAGATCAAATTTGCTACAGTGAAAAACCCCCTGTTGTGAAAAATTTCTTGCTGCAAACATGATTTCGTTGTAGAGGAGTTTCACTGTACAATATCGAATTTTATACTGTCCAGGAAAAAAAATACATAAAAAAAAATACAGAAGTAATGTTCTTTGAAAAGCTTAAATAATGCAATTTAATTCTGCTAAATATTATCGAATAATTTAACTTACCATATTATGTCATGAATATTATATGGGGCCAGTACCAGTTCTAAGAGAGCTACAACAACTCAGCCCACTCAAAAAGGCTTAATGTGGGACTCCGCAGTATCTGCTCAGACCAGCTTTCAAGCGTGCCAATGTTCTAATCTGTGATGTCAACTATTGTTTTTCATTCATTAGTCAAGCAGATTCACCATTGCATGGCTGCCCTGTGGTACTATTAGAAGTGAAACGTGCCAATCCAGGGCAAGTACATCCTAACCGAGCTGGTACTGTGCAGTGAGAAAACTTTGTCCTTTTATAATAATAATAATAATAATAATAATAATAATAATAATAATAATACATTTTTTTAGAAGCGCCTTTCAAAATACCCAAGGACACTTTACAATCAAAAAAGCAATAAAACCACAGATAAAATTTAAATGTTTGTATGACTGGAGTGGTGAAAATTTCATCCTTTCAGATGACGATCAGTTGTTGTGACCCATTTTAAAGCCTTCAGGAAAGAAAATGTGCCAACAAGAGTACACAAAATATACAGAAGGTTTAGGGGTGAATACAACCAACACTCTCCTGAGGCAGGATCTTAGTCTATCGCTGTGTTTCAGGACTAATAAAATATGCTGCTCTAAAGAGTGTTGACAGATCAAAGAGAGTAGTAATATCAGTTGCTAATAATGATGCCGTCCGTCTCTACGTGAGACATCTAAGCCACTTTGGTTGGTAATTGAAAAGACCATCTGTGTGGTTATGTCTAGTTGCTTTCTGTACCGTCTGATTTGACAAGCAGCCTGCTATGCATCTAATCAGTAATTGAAGTTGATTTCGACATGTTGGTTACTTCTGTGGTCTATTTCCTGAAACATTCATGTTTTTTTTTCCTCCTCCAAATAAACACAGTGTCATAAGGCAGAGAAACCCTTTCGTCGCCTAAGCCCATACGTTTACAGATGTAATGACAGATTGCTTTTGCTGTAATGTCGGGATTTCTTTTTTCCTTTGTCCAACTGATTGCGTGCCAGCATTACGGAATATGCATGCTCCGTCAGCCCGATGACCTTGTGCGATAAAGCCGCCTGCGAAATGAAGATAAATGTTTGGAGGCGAAAACTGCATTGCCAGCTGGTCTGTTGTGTGTTGTACTGTAGCTTCAAGGTACACACCCATGCACGCACTTATAAAAGAATATTTGAGGTCTATGGTTTGACATTGCATCAGTTAAACAGTTTAATTTCGATTTTTAGGCACTGTTTATTTAATAATACATAGTCCTTTTTCTCTCTACACGGTGGGAATTCCCTCTTCATATGCCTGGTTGACCTGTGTGTTGTTTAGATAAATGATAAGAATTTGTATTATTTGAAGACGATCGCATGGCTGGCTCGTAGCTTCGGTGTGTATGCATGCTGGATCAATAGCTTTTCTTTCTCTCTCTCTCTTGAATTCACAAAATCATTGATTACTTGTCTCATGATCGATTCATTTCCCTTTTATAGCACTGATTCGATCAATTAGTAGTCCCCTCCGCTGATGGGGTGCCACTGGGGCAAATAAGATTGCTTGTGTGCAGTAGAATATAAATGTATTAATAAATTAAATAATTGTTGGGGATGTCCTGCGTTTCTGGTTATTGTTTTTAACACATCGGCTATGTTCATGGATAGACTAGACTTGCTGTTGTATGCAGTGGGTGAGGCATATTTGCAGACACTTGGAAAAGTGTGTTTCCTTTAGTTTTAACGTGTGTTGGGGGTGGAGTAGGAGTGTTGGCTGTGATGGATGAGAAGTCAACTTGGTTTCATTCCAATAAATGTGCAGCGTTCCACTGGGGCTTTCCTTTAGTGCAAATCTGCTAACAAAGCCACGCTGGTGACAGATGCTCCTCGACTGTGCTGTGTGTTTGATGAGGGAGAGAAATGGACCGGGATGAGGGAAGAGGCACAGTACACAAAGCAAGACAGAGAGCATCGGTCACAATATAACAACAGATTAGGGCAGCCCAAGAGTTAGGAAATAATACGTAAGGGAGCAAGGGAAAAAGTTGTTTTGTTTCGGCTGACTGTATGATATGATATATACATGTACTACAGGTGACTTGAAAAAAACTTCATTATGCTCAACATCATGGTTGATGTTACTGAAACCATTTTATCCCACCAGATTTTGGGAGCACCGCTTTAAATTGGTGAAATCCAAAGAATTAATGTGTTCTCTGGTCCTGCACTTATTCTTTTGGATTTTTTTTTGTCGTGTTCTTCCATTCTCTTTATTATTCAATTTGTTTTGCTCAATCTCACTTTTAAAGTATATCCATCTTTGTTTCATTTCTCATTAGACATATCCCCGAAGAGTGGCCCTGCTGCCCAGATTTGCCAGTGGGGCGCCTCCTTGAATGCAGACGGCATTTCCGGTGACAACAGTTGGAACAAAGGAAATACTGACAGAAGTGATACTGAAGCTTGCCGCAGCAGTGACCTCGGTCAGCCTCCAGCACCGGCATGCCCCTTTGGCTCAGCTAGCTTCAGCACAGACTGCAGTACTGTCACTACCGTTAGTGGTACTTTACTGACTATGGCCACGGGTGCCACAGGCCAGCCGGCCCACTACACATCTCTCAAATCTAACAATAATATGATGACAGGACCTGGATCAGCTAACACATTGTCAACTAACAGAGGTTGGGGCTCAGATGCCAAACAAGATGGAATGAATAGTGGGCGGGTCGGAACGCCCAATCACTGGGGCTCACCCGGTTTTAACTTGAATCTCAATCCTAGTGCCAACCCTTCTGCGTGGCCTGTTCTCGGTCATGAGGGTGGTGGTGTTATTGGCTCAAATGGTGTCTCAGCCTCATCTCACCCACCAGGCAGTGGGAATGGCGATATTGGGAACGGGAGCCTTGGAGGCACAAGCACTTGTGGCGGAGGTTGGGTTAGCATGGTTGGTGCTAATGAAAATGAACAGCAGCGCCCTTCCACCATCCCAAGCTTGTCCTTCAATATGGAAACTAACCTTAACACTGATGGACCAAACCACACCAAGCAACAAGCTCAGGAGCCTATGAGCCCGATCCATGGGTTAACAGGCTGGGGAGGTCAGTCGCCTACTGAATCTTCCCAACTCAATGGAGACACAACAGGCAGCTCTGTCTGGGGCAGTGCTGAAACCAAGGCAGCTGATTCCCCCAAGGACTCTGGCTGGGACGCAGCACCGCCTGCGGGCCTCTCTGCTTGGGGTCGCCAAGGTAGTGGTGGTGGCGGGAGTAATGGAAGTGGTGGCTGGGGCGACTGGGGGAAACCCTCAGGAGGTGGCGATGCATCAAAAGGCTGGGACTCTGTTGATGCTGTCATTTCAGATCAAGGTTCAGGTCAAGAGCAACAACTTGGCTCATGGGGTAAGCAGCCTGGAACTGCCCCAGCAAGTGAAGGTAGTGGGGACAGCAGAGATGGCCATTCTCACCACAGAGAGAGGTCCTCAAGCATGGATTTTACCCCCGTGTTACCCCGACAGGACCTGGATCCTCGGGTGCTGAGTAACACGGGTTGGGGGCAGACTCCCATCCGACAGCATACCGTGTGGGAGATGGAAGAAGCAAACTCTGATGATGGGAAAAGCAACAGCAGCTCAGACACATTTGAAAGTTCCAGTTCTAACAGTGGATCCACATGCACCAACGGAGGTGCCGTCAACCCCAACATAGGTACGAATCCAAGGCATGGATCTGATGCAAAACATGAAAGCGAAAGATCGTCAGGCTGGGGAGCCCCTCCACCCCCGTCAGTTGAGACTGCATCAGGATGGGGTGATCCCCCACATTCACAGAAAGAAGCCACTAATGGCACCACCAGTGGCTGGGGAGACCCCTTACCTACCGGTGGACCTAAAAATGTAGGCATGACATCTTGGGGCTCTGAGGACAAGTCACCTAGCTGGGACAGTGACATGACAAAAAGCCAGTCCACTAATTGGGGGGAGGGCACGATTAGCTCCCGTGGTTGGGGAAGTAGTAATGGGGGCACCAACAGTTCTAGCACAAGGGACTGGGGAGAACCAGAACGCAAGAACAATGGGTCGCCCAGCAGCATGTGGGAAGGGGAAGGAGGAAATGGAGGTAATGGAGGATGGAAGGAAAATCCTAGAGGAGGAATTAGAGGAGGTGGTAAACTTACTTCTTCTTCTGTAAGTAGCGGCACTTGGGGAGAGAACGCCCGTACCAGTGGCCCAGTGCAGGGCACCTGGGGCTCCTCCAAGCCCACTGAAAGCAGTGGCAGCAGCACTGGTAGTGGAGGAGGGGGCAGCATTGGTTCTTGGGGAGGTCCTAGTTCTGTCAAACAGAACACCTCCGGTTGGAGCAATGTCAGCAAACAGGACCAAGGCTTGGAATCTACAGGTTGGGAGGAGCCCTCCCCTCCCTCTATCCGCAGGAAGATGGAGATTGATGATGGAACATCCACCTGGGGTGATCCTGGCACGTACAGCAAGACTGTCAATATGTGGGATCGCAATAATCCGAATAATAATGCAGGCAACAGCGGTCCACCCCCCATGAAGAATAGTGGCATGATCACACCCAACAATAATAATCACTCTGTCGGCCCTAACAACAACAATCACCACCACGGCCATCCAGTGCACCACCATCCTCACCATGGCAATGTGCCAAGCCATCTCCATCAACATCATGGAAACAACTATGGGCCACCCAACAGTTGTGCCCCACACCCAGGTGCGGGTCCCCAGAGTCGACCTCCTCTTGCTAACCCAGGTAAAACAACGGTCCTTGCATTATCTAACATACATGGACCATCTTGTATGCGCTCAATAACTTTAAAATGGTTAAAAGCTGTTTTAAATAATAAATCAGATCAAGTAAAACATCTTTTTCAATCATTATCAGATGATGTGACGAAATTACCATTGAAACTATTCTCGAGGATTGTAATTATTCCAAGGATTATATCTTCAAGTAATTATTTTGTGGTGATTGTTCAGTGGTTCTTCTTCTGGGTATTGCACATCTTAATGACGATGCATGCCTAATCAAGTCTGTCCATTTATTTCGATTTTTGGTAAGCAGTTCAAATGTCTCATTGAAGATAAAAGCTACATACAGTATATACGCATTAAAGACGTCAATACTTTTACTGAACAACTCTATCCCCTCTCTTTTTGATTGAGTAACACCATTGCCCCGCACTGTGAATCAGTCGGACTGCATTAACAAATATTAAAGTGTAAAATTAGTATTCCTTCAATTTGCAGGAACAATACAACTATTCCCAGTTAGCAATTAGCATCCTTGATTCTGATGGCATTTGAAATCGCTGCGCCGTATGAATGACCCCTTTCAGAAAATTCCCCCGTCTGTTTTCCAGGCTGGGGAGAACTTCCCAGTGTTCAGCCTAAGTCAGAGCCTGCTTGGGGAGAGCCTGCAGCTCCAACATCAGCTGTGGACAACGGCACCTCTGCTTGGGGCAAACCATCAGGAGGTGTCAGCGGATGGGGAGATGGTGTCCATGAGCCCACTGGACCTTATGGCAGGGCCAACGGACCCTCCTGTGCTGCACCCTGCAAGACTGGTACATAATAGCCTTTGTATACATTGGTGATGTCTGGTCCTGAGGGGTCTCTAGTGGGTCTTAAGAATTTGAGCAATTTTGCACCTTGGAATGTTTTTGAGACCAAGTCCAGAGTGCTGCATGACGTTAACTCACAAGCAATGTGTTCAAACGAAAACAGTGCCATCAAGTGGTCAAGCTCAAAACTACCCGCTGTGCTGATTTTGCTAAAATTACGTTTGTATCAGGTTATTTTCTCAAGTATCCTCACTTTTTTTCATCTTTGATACGAACCCACACTTGATTCTTTCGTCAGGTCCCAAACCTATGCAAGACAGCTGGGGAAATGGAGGGGATGAAATGGGCATGTCAACAGGCCAGTGGGACACTGAGGATGGGGACATGTGGAGCAACCCCACCTCGCTGGAGAGCAGCTCCTCCTGCAATTCCTGGGGCAATGGATCCAAGAAGATCCCGAACAAGGTAAATATCTACATTTCTACATATTTTATATACATGTCTACACGTGGGCACACATTGATCAAGTGATTATTTAAATGTTTGACTTGGTGTCTCTTCAGGGGAAGATGATGAACAAACCAGATGAGACATGGATCATGAATCGTCTCATCAAACAGCTCACCGACATGGGTTTTCCGGTATGAGTCATTTATTCTGCAAATGTTTTGGCTGATGTGCATAATTTATAAGCCATCTTTAAGGCTAAGGTTTTATTTACTATTTGAGGAACTTATTTAATCACTGTCTTACAGAGAGATCCTGCTGAGGAGGCACTGAAGAGCAATAACATGAATCTTGACCAGGCCATGAGTAAGTTCACTTTTTGTGTGTGAGTGGTGTGTCTTTGTACGCATGTTTGAAGTATTATTTACAACATTACACCCCCCACTCAGGCGCTCTGCTGGAAAAGAAGACTGACCTGGACAAGCGTAGTTTGGGCATTTCTCATTACAGCAACGGCCTGAACAAGCCACTGGTGTGTCGACCATCCATGCTCTCGAAAGATCCCTCTGACCACAATGCCTTCCTTGACAAGGTAATAAGCCACCTGGATGGCCTTCACAGCTTTGAAGAATGTCACTCACTCATCTTTGCTTACTCTTATCACCATTTGTCGCCTTCATCACTGTTTTATTCCTCTGCTCCAGGATGGTGTTCTTTCCAACGATGCCCCCCCATCACCATTTATGCCTTCCCCCAGCCTGAAGCTCCCCCTGGCCAATAGTAGCCTTCCCGGGCAGGGTCTGGGACAGGGCAACTCGGGGCTGGCCATGCAAAACTTGAACAACAGACAGGTATTGTTTATGACATCTCAAAAGTCGCTACATTGTCGAGGAGCTGTATAACCATAAATTCTATTATTGTTTCTATTGTTCACTTATGTTTGAATAAGCTTGTCTCGAGTCCTCATTGAGACCAAGTGTTGTCTAGCGTCACTGCCAAAGAATGCCCTTGAAATAAAAATGTAAAAAAAAAAAAAAGTGCTATTTTGCTTGGGAATGTGGAAGTACTGTAGCTGCCTTTTCACAGCTCGGAATTTCTTTGGCCTTCAAAAAATATCTAGTCGTTAAAAACAGTAATACTGCTCAACAGTAAATTAAAATTGGAAATGGCTATGTGTATAATGTAAATGTATATTTGATGCCGATATGAAGAATGTTTTTTTTTCCAACACATCTGGGGTTTTTTTTGTTATTTTCCTTTTTCCTTTTTAAGTTTGACCCATAAAAGCTAGCTCAATGCAAATTTTACCATGTGTTGTAATTTATGGTGATGACGTTAAACCTTAAATCAGAAATATTACTAGGGCCCGACCGGTATGGATTTTTTTATGCCTATATATAAATACATTAGTGTATGCCCTCAGCATTTTTTCTGCAGTAGTGCCAATCATGCAAGAGGTATTGCCTATCCCATTCTCATGAATATGTTACATCACTTCAAAGATTTTTTAACAGTCAAAATGAATGTGTATCAGCTCAGTGGACTGATGGATAGAGTCATACAATTGTAAATGACTTTGGCAGTTTGAAAGTATGTATAAAAAGAATAAAGAAAGAAATCTTTTTGTTCCAGATACCCAGTGGAATGTTTGGCAGCAGTGGAGCAGCACAAGGCCGGGCCATGCAGCAGCAGCCTCCTCAGCCACCAGTGCCACCTCTGAGCTCCTCCATGCCTAGTCTACGTGCTCAAGTGCCTCAGTATCTCTCCCCTCAGGTACATGAACACACATGCACCCAAAAGATTCTGCCATTAAGCCATGCATTTTACTATATCAACTTGTCTAAACACTTCCTACTTGTGCATAGCAGTATGTAGTAATTATGTTCTTTCCTGCTGCTTTTGTTTCCTCGTGAATTACAACAATTTACCTGTCATCTCCCCCCCCCCCCCTTTACAGGTCCAAGCACAGCTCTTGCAATTTGCAGCAAAAAACATTGGTCTGAACCCTGCACTTTTAACCTCACCAATAAACCCTCAACAAATGACCCTGTTGTACCAACTTCAGCAACTTCAAATGGTGAATCGCACTGTCTGATCAATAGACATTTTTGTAATCACATTTCTGATTCAGTATATTTAACAATCTACTTCAAAACCTCATCTGTGCTTTTATGTACAAAGTATTTTTGTGTATGCGTGGCTGTACTGCAATGTACTATTGCTTCCCTTTTTTTTTTGTTCAGGCATACCAGCGTTTACAAATCCAGCAGCAGATGATGCAGGCGCAGCGTAATGTTTCCGGTCCCATTCGACAACAAGAGCAGCAAGTGAGTCAACAGGCACAACGCTGCACCCACTCACATCATGTGATGATCAATGTGACCCACTTCTGGAGCATGACTGCATGAGCTGACTGCAAAATCGATTCAATACTGTAACAACAGGCATGGATAACGTCTCATTGTTACGTCAGCAGTTGCTCAAGTGTTGTTTGCGTGGGTGAAGTTTCTTCTCCACATTAGTATTTCTGTCCCTGAGTATTTTTGTCCCTTTCGTCATCTTTTACTCTGCCGTGTGTCTGCCCACTCCTAGGTCGCACGCACAATCACCAACATGCAGCAGCAGATCCAGCAGCACCAGCGTCAACTCTACCAGGCGCTGCTGATGAAGCAGCAGCAGCAGCTTCCCTCCCATTCCGCCTCCTCTTCCTCCTCCCAAGCTGGTCTGCATGCCCCCGGTGGCCCCACCGGAGGCCCCGGATCTGCAAAATCAACCCTGGACCCTTTCACAGGCCCGCATCATGCTCTGGGCCTGGTCGACACACTGCACACCAAAGAGCCGCTGTCTTCACCCAACGCCTACAGCACCTACCCTCTTTGTGAGTCTTTAACAGAGGGCAATTAAGGTTTCTATTAGTTCAGTCACTGTGGATTTGGCAACATCCTTGGTCGCCATGGTAACAGCGAGTCGGTGATTGTTACCACAGCTGTAAATTTTGGCTTCTCCCTTCCAATAAAAGAGAACAATGAATGGAGGTAATTACTGTGGATGAAGTGCTTATTGCCTCAGCAATAGCAGCCAAGTTGAAACACAATCCACATTTAACTGACTTGTTTCTTTAAATAGTAGCTCATGGAGTTTATTTACTTAACAGGAGATATTTTGTTTTGTAAGATAGTTTTTGTAGAGGAGGCCTGTATATGTTAGAATAAATATACTTTTATTTCATGGGATAATTTCGCTTTAAACTCCATAAATGTCAACCTCGCAGATGCCTTGTCTGCTCAGCAAGCAATGTATGGTATAGTTGTCTAGTCTGTCCAATCAGTAAATGCAAACGTAATTCCAGCCACACAGTAGTAGCACCAGGCCAAAAAAAACAAAAAACAAATATGTTGAAACGCATGATAGAAGCAGGAATAACTTGAGACAAAGTGGAAATACGTTCTGCCATTTATTATTAAAAGCTATATGGCCAAAAAAAAACATGCACAAAAATAACAAAACAAGTAATATTTTCTTTAAATTCATAAATACTACAGTATAAATATGCTGAATATGAAATAATCATTGAAACATATTATATCATAAATATACCTACATTGCAAGGGCCATCACAGTATGGCCACCCAAACGGGCTTAATGTATTGTTTTGTTGTCTTGTTTGTAAAAGTATGTGCTTTTTTAATTCTTGTATCCTGTGTGCAGCTGGACTTAATCCAAACATGAATGTAAACTGTATCGAGGTTGGGGGTCTGTCTCTGAAGGAGCCCCCTCAGCCCCAGTCCCGCCTGTCCCAGTGGACACACTCCAACTCCATGGACACCCTGGGTGGCAACACCTCAAACCTGGAGAACAACCTCAACAAACATGGTGGGTCAAACATTCCGATCTTGGATCATCCACAACAACAGAAAAGATGGATTCAAGTCATTGTGTGCGTTTCGCTATATGCTAGGTGCCATATCTGCTGCCTCTACCTTGGGGCCACCTGGGAAGCCCTCACAGCTAGAGGATTCCTACAGCCCATACAATCTGATGTCCAGCTCGGACTCCCCCGCCAGTTCCTTGGTACCGCCAGACAACTGGGGCCAAGGCAAGAACCCCAATGAAAAGATCGCCAACGGGACCAACATTAACTGGCCCCCAGGTGAGGACAAAGACAAATGAATAGCAGTGCTCTTTGCCACCACATTTGTGACAATCTACTTTCTTTCACATCCTCAGAATTCTGCCCAGGTGTGCCATGGAAGGGCCTTCAGAACATTGACCCTGAGAACGATCCCAATATGACCCCTGGTAGCGTCCCGAGTGGTCCTACCATCAACACAAACATCCATGACGTCAACAGATATCTTCTGCGTGACAGGAATGGAGGTATGGATATGCTTCAAGTCTCTAATCAGCACAGCCAATAACGCAAAGTCAGCTTGATTTACCAATCAATGAAATACTGTATAGGCAGTACAAAATTGATGGCGCGCCACCTCAACAACAAAATTGTACTCACTTCCTCGGCAACCATGTGCACCTCTGCCAACCACAAAAAGGAAGGCCTCACCTCAGATGGCAGTTAGCAGTTTTCGTGTGAATTTTTTTTTTCAGAGGAATTCACCAGTAATTCAAGAAGTGATGCTTAAGTACACTGCGGAAAGCACTACGAGAAGGTTGCTATCTAACTTAGTCATGCATCGGTTTTATTTATTACCTTTGGCTTTGTTGAAGGCAAACTGTCCGATGTGAAGTCCACCTGGTCCACTGGGTCCATGACTCAGAACCAAGCCTCCCTGACTCACGAGCTGTGGAAAGTCCCTCAAGGCCCACGCGGCTCGGCAGCCCCGTCCCGACCCCCACCGGGCCTCACCAACACCAAATCTTCCTCTACATGGGGGGGCAACTCACTGGGACTGTCCCAGGGCTGGAGTGGCTCTTACGCCTCGGGTGAGTCAAAATATTGTGATGAAATTTCTGATTAGAAATGAAGTTGTCTTTCAATATCTTTTTTTATGTGTATGGGAAAAAGTTAAACAAAAAAAAATAAGAGATACCCAGTTGTAGTTCGCAGGCTACAATTTTTAGTTTCAACAACCCTTCTGTTTGTGCCGTCAAGGAAATATTACATAAAATATCCTGTATGTGAACCACATTGGCTCAATGAAGCATGTTAAGCGTCTGGGAGTAAAAACAATCCGTCTTGAGGGTATGGGTAGCCTGGAAAAATAATAGTAAAAGGAACATAAGTGCAAACAATTTAGAATAATGAACATAGTAAATAATAATATTCCCTTTACAAATATAATGCAGTACAGCACTGCAAATACTTTTTTTTTTTTTTTTTAAACAAAATCTCACTAGGAAACCTTTCATCAAATGCTAGGCAGACTTGGTCAAAGAGCAGAGATGACATCTGCTCTCTATTGATGTCTTATCTTGTTGAACATACCCTGCTAAACTGACATCCTGAGGTTTACCGGCTCGCAAGGAGGCCTCATGTCAACATTGTTTCTCGAAACTGCTTTGCTCGTCAGTTGTGCCCTTTACAAACAATGTTGGAGTGGGCGACGCTTTTCGTTTAAAAAAAAAAAAGAAAACAAAGAAAAGAAGAAAAATCACAATTTAATACTTAAATTTTTGAATCAATTATTTGCTATTTTTTGAATATTTAAAAAAAATATGTTTTTATAAAACAAGTTGCAAATCTCTCGCTGTCCTTATTTAACAGAGGGAACCACATGGAGTACAGACAGCTCCAACAGGACCAGCAGCTGGCTGGTGCTGAGGAATCTCACACCTCAAGTAAGTGTGCCAATTGACCGTTAATTTGAACAAATGGTCCAAGTTGAGTGGGAAAAAAATCAAAATGGATGCCACAATGTAAGGCCAGGTGGTGAGTATCTTATGTATTTTAGCGAATGCTTTATAAAAGGTTCAAAGTAACTTCAAATGTCACTCAGGCCCCTTTGTATGCACAAATACGTTCTTTTTATCGAAATATACTGTACATCTCCTCCAACGGCCATGCGTCTGCGGCTTTTGCTGGCTCTACAGATTGACGGTTCAACTCTACGGACCCTGTGCATGCAGCACGGCCCTTTGATCACATTCCACCTCAACCTGACCCAAGGGAACGCCGTGGTGCGCTACAGCTCCAAGGATGAGGCCGCCAAGGCCCAGAAGTCTCTGCACATGTAAGTGCCAGAAGCTGTTTGGGAATATCACACCAAAATTTGCAAAGCAATCTCTTGCTGCTTTCACTTCATTACAAATGTGTCACAAGGTGATGGGCAAGTCTTTGAGCAAAACGTAGAACAGTGGAACATCCAAAATCGAGGACAATTAATCCGGGGACTCTCGCTGACTTGTTTAAAACCACTTCTTAATGTGAATTATTTTATTCTAGACTGAAGTTGTCATCTTAAAGTATTCAATAACAGTTTGCACAGTTGCAATAAGATTATTTCTCAAAAACCTTTCACCACAACTGTGAATGCTTTTGCAAATTTGTCTTGGGATCATTTGACTGACCCGTCTTGTGTTTTGTGTCAGGTGTGTGCTCGGTAACACCACCATCTTGGCAGAGTTTGCTGGGGAGGAGGAGGTGAACCGCTTCTTTGCACAAGGCCAGTCGCTGGCCTCAAACACCACCACCAGCTGGCAAGCCAACCCGGGAACCAATCAGAATCGAATGGGCGGGGCAGCGGCGTCTCACTCCATCGCCCAGTGGAGCACCGGCGGCGGGGGAGGAGGTGGCGGTGGCAAGACCAGCGGAGGGGACCTGCTTTGGGGGGGTGTTCCCCAATACTCCAGCCTGTGGGGGCCTCCGAGCGGGGAGGACGCACGCGTGATCGGGAGCCCCACCCCTATTAATACTCTGCTGCCTGGAGACCTGCTGAGTGGGGAGTCCATGTAGAAGGAGCAAAAAACCCAAGCAAATCATGTGGCGATAATCAGCTCCATTTTACAACTTTCTGTAACTGTGAATTGAGAAATGGAAGGCTCACCAGCCCTTCTCTTTCTTTCGTGTTACCTTTTGTTCCTTTCATTTTGGAAATGACTTTGTAAGAAAAAAAAAAAAGAACTCAAACGTGACACAAAGAAACCTTTTTGAGTTTGGTTTGGTTTTGTTAGGAGAAGCAATCAAAGCTGCCATCTACCCTTTCCTTGCAAGAAGAATCATCCCAGACAAAAAGACTCTCAAGCGATCATTCCCAGCATGCCCGTGGCCAACGATGCGGTTGGATGACCTTTACTTGTTACTCTTTGTTTCTCAGCACTAATATTAGCCTTAAGTGCTCACCTGGTCCTTTCCAAACCGGCTTTTTTTTTGTTGATAAACTGAAGAAGCAGATGGAATCTTGCACAGTTTTTGACCTCTTGAGCCAGTGCCACGCAACTGGCGACCGACTCTCTTCGGGAAACCCGGCTCCTCGGACTCTTCACTTGTTCGACGTGGACGGCGGGTTCATTGTTCTGATGTCCGTCCCCCAATATATAAGCTCTGAGCAACTGCGGCGGCGCCCAATCACTGACGAGATCCTCGCCGTCACCTCCAGTTCACTCACTGGTGCTTTGTGGAATCTTCGACAACCTTTCTGCACGTGTCATTGCAAGGAAAAGGAAAGAGGACGCGGCTTTAACTCTTTTGAACGTGACGGTTTACATTGTGCAATATACACCGTAGAAACTCTTTGTCCGTCCCGTCTGAGCTGGTCAGTTTTTAGAGCTTGAAAGACCATTTTTTGTTTTTGTTTTGGTCCGCCCGCCCCCTCCCCTCCAGAGCGCCATTGGAAAATCTGTGCGAAGCAGCAGCAGCTTGGACTTCGATGCACACTTCCTGTCTGCGCGCCCGCCGCACCCACAGCCAACAAGAGACTGGATCCAATTGGACACCTCTTCGGGGTGTCTGGCACAATACCAAAAAAAAAAAGGGGGGGTGGGGTTTGCAGCCTATGAGTTTTCCCAATGCAGTAGACCTACGAGTCTTTCTCGTGGACACACATGGGAAGGCCTCTTATCATAGCACTTATGAGGAGCCCGTGGCTTTGGCTCAATAAAGAAATAAATCAAAACAAGACAAAAGCTCTGATGAAGGGAAAATGCGACTGACACAAAGTCACCTTCGCGAAGAATAGGAACAATTCTGAAAGTGAATATCACTGTTACTCCAAAATGTCCAAGCCTTGCTCGCTCTTGGAGACCGAGCGTGGATGGTCGGTCATTGGGTGTGGGGGGGTGGGGGCAGCGTGGAGGGTGTGGCGTCCACTGAGTGCCTCTCTGCTGTGGTCCACCGCCCACCGTCCCGCCCCCACACCTCCCCCAGGTGTCCGACCGCAGCACTTCTTCCCCGTGCTCCGTCTGGCAATAACCAGACCAACCCTGCTCGTTCTCCCTTTCAGTTGTTAAAACGCAAAGATCACTTTAGCTGGAAGATCTACTAGTCATATTTCTGGATTGTGTCTCGTTGTCGTTTGTGTCCACAATGCATACATGCTACGTGCCTGCGTATGTATAAGTACATCGTGGCTGCCTGAAGGAGCCTCTCACTGTTCATATGCAGAAACACTTTTTTCTCAGAGGTGCCTCTCTGTGCTCATCCTGTGTTATGAATGCAAAACAAGGATCAATACTATTGATTGTCAATTGCTTTTTGAGCTGATCGTGCTTTGTGTTGGACAGTATTCTGTCGTACTTCCAGGTCTGGGGGTGTTTTTCATTGTTTTGGTCCAAGCTGCTCCGCCTGCCCACAGGTTGCCCATTGCATAGCTGCTACGCTAAGCCCCCCCCCCCCCCAAAAAAAAAACCCCGTCACATCTGGTAGCCTCCACCCAACCCCTCCCCTCCATGAGGCACCGAGGGCCACTTGTAACTGTTTCTATGCAAAAGACGAGAAGCCGGGGCCCCTCTACAAGCACGCCGACCCCTTGTCACTCCAGCACTATTCCCACCCTACTGTGAACTTCGCTATGGCCGCCATTTTCTCGAGACACTGTCACTGAAGTGGAGTGCGAAGACTTTATCAAAGGCTCGTGTCCAGACTTGATCTCAGGGTAGGGGTAGGGGGGCACAGACGACGACCATGCAGCTCTCTCTCTCTCGCTGTCTTTCTCGCTCTCCACGACCGTCCTTTGTTCCCGTGTACACACACCACACGCATTGAAGAGATGCCAATGTACTGTGCCAACTTCAATTTGCTGAACAGAGCACTTGTGTTCCTCTTTGAAAGGAATGATTTTTTTAGGGGGGCGGCACAGGGAAGTTGGAGGGGCAGCAGCATCACATCCTGAAATGACTGATTTTCCTTTTTTGTTTGTTTTGTGGGACAAACCCAACGCTAACATTGCGCAGGGGAGGGTTCCAGTTTGCTACAGTGCACAGTCGATGATGGGTAATCCCGGGTACATATTTTTTTAAAACCAAAAAAAAAAAGTTACAAATCACATTTTAACATCATTTTTATGAAGTTTGACAGAAAAATCTTTTTTAAAAATGCATAAAAATGAAATTGCGGGCTGGGGGGATCTATGATTTGTTGAAGCTCTGCACTTCTCGCTGAAACGTCTCCGGTCGTCACGTTCTGCTCACGACATGAACAAGTAGACCCACGACTGGGGTTCCTTTTTGTTTGATTTGTTTTCTTGTGGATGCTGTATTTATCTGGTTTTTATTTTGTGTTGACGTCCTGCTCAAAGCAGGCCCCGATTGCGAACTGTACATTTCCACTGGATCCGAGTCGGTGAGAGGTACAAAAGTCTTAAATCAAGAAGGAAAAAAAGGGGGACAAAGGCTACCTTTCAGGACACGGCGTCCTGCAGCACACGAGCAAAAATCACTATTGCCTGTTTCTGTAAAACTGCCTTGATCCAAGAAGCTCAGACAGACCCAATAATCCACCAGTACCGCGCCCAGAAAGTCACAAGGGGCTTTCCCATGCTGCACCAGCATCGAGAGGCTCTCCTCTTCACACAGCTCGCTTCTCGAAAGCGTGCTTACCGTAGACATATATACATACATACGTGTGTATCTATACACAAAGTTGATATTTGTATGTATGCATACGTACACACCTACTGTACATATATGTACACTTCGGATGGTAGCCTCTAAAATGTTTTATTTGTCTGCAAGGTTGAAATGAAGATGAGCAATATGTATTTCCCCCCGCCCACACACACGCACGAACGTCCACACAAATATGCGATGGACGCAATTTGGTTGTCAACGAATACTTGATCGTCCGTTCTGCTTTTCAGCCACATGATGTCGTATGTATGGATCTTTGTTCGTTAGCCCGCCCTCCATCGTAAGTCGAGCATTTGCTAATTAAAACAAAAAAAAAATGAAAAGAAGAATCACATATCAAAAAAATATATATATCTACATATATATATTGAACTTGAATACTTGAACTACAATGTACAAATGAGTATTTGGGCCACACTGAAGAGAAAAAAATGTGTGTGTGTGTATGTATGTATATATATATATATATATATATATGTGTATATATATATGTGTGTGTGTGTATATATATATGTATATGTGTATAAATATGTATGTGTGTGTGTATATACACACATACATATTTTTACACATATACATATAATATATATATATACACACACACACGTGTGTATAGTTATATACACACAAGTTGTGCCCGGAAAAAATCTGTTTTAAAATGTTTATCTGGATTCTCAAATGTTACTTTTTAACAAACAAAACCAATTTTTACAAGTGGGAATTTTACAGCAAAGCAGCAATTTGCACTTTTGCTTCTCAGAATAATCAAATTTACCCATGGATGATTAGCACAGTTTTTTTTCCCCTGAGTTTTCCCTGAGTCGTGTTCTCAAAATGGTATGCTCAATTTTGTCATAACTTTTTTCTTGGAAGATCGCGACGTTGTTCTCAAACAATACTATTTAAAATTACAAATTGCGTGAAATTGTGAGAAAAAAACTTTGAGAAATGAAACGTTCTTTTTGTATTACTTTATTCCCCATTTTTGTTTCTTCCGATGAATCATACTTTTTCTAATTTTTGGTGCCCCCCGCCCCTCCCCCTAAAAAAGACTGAAGACTTCCCAACTCCTGTTTACTTAAAATTTACAACTGAAGACGCCTTTTAGATTACCTTTTTTTTTCTTTAGAGACTGGCTCAAATAGTCCTTGGTCATGGAGCGCAAACAACGTAATGTGGAGTCAGTAAAGGTCTCTCTCTTTCTCATCTGACAAGTAACATGGTGAGGATGAAATTTACCAATGTTTTGGAGAGAGGAAAAAAATAAAAAAAAGAACTGAAAGCGTCATCTCCGTTTTGTGTGCGACGGATATTTGAATGTGTGCCAGAAACTGTGTTTTTGTTGTTGCCTGGTTCTCTTCTAATGTTGCACTGAGTGTCTTGTGCCCCTCACTCAGCTAATCGTGGTAAAAAAAAAAAAAAAAAGTACAGGAGGGGTCGACGGCGACAATTCACGTGTACATGTTTACTCAAGGAATTCATTTGTTTTCATTCTATCTGTACAAAAAAAAGTTGATCTACCTTATAGTGGCTTTTATTGTGGAATAATCCCGATGCGGGGTTGTCATTGAGTATTGCACCATTTTGTTTCAATAAGGTTAAAAAGTTTAAAAAAAAAGTATAAATATAAAAATGTTTAAAAAAATAATATAAATAAATCAAGACAAAGCGGCAAGGCCATAGCTAGGTGTAAAAAAACTGGTGTAGCATCGCGGAGAAATGAAAAGAAAGGGGAGGCGAGGTCATTTCAGAGGTGCCTATTATTTGTGTTCCTGTTGTTTACAAGCATTTCATTTGTGTCACCTTCAAAGAAAATTGGAATTACTATGACAGGAATGTTGTGTTTTAATAAGAAAATCCTCTTCCATGGAATATGGACATGAAAACCTTGCAAAATGAGGATACGTATGCTACTTTCAGAACTCTGGGATCGATCAGTGTTGTCATATTTCAAGTTCGGCCCTCGTTCGTTTGCGTCGTTTTGCTCGTTTTCTTGCACACTTGTTGTTCGAAACATTCATGAATTTTGTCTCAGGAAGGCCAGAATTCCAATATCCCAACTCCTCCATTGTTCGTTTTTTGTTTTGCTACTCCCAAGCAAGCACTGAAGCTTTTTCGGGGGACTCTCAACTATAACGACAACACCACGTTTGTATTGTAGCAAGTGACATATTTACCAAATAAGACTGAGAATCAACTTTGAATATTGAGAATTAAAAAGTGCTTTACCGGTGAAATCTTGCGTAGAGATTGCTTTACATTGGGAAAACAAGGATCAATGGAAACACATTTGTTTGTTTTTTTGTTGGTTTGTGAGCGCAGGATGTTCTCAATCATCTCTCCGTGTGTCCATGTGACGCTTTTCAAGCAGCAGAGAGATTTCAAGCAAAAGGTTCTGATCTATGCACAAAAGCGGGAGGGTTCAGGGTTTTATGTCGGCTTCTTCTTTGATTAAATGTGCTCAATGTGCCGTAGTTGTCTGGTGTTAGTGGACCCTTATGACGTCACCATGCTGTGGAAACCCTTCTTAACCAATGAGCGCTTGTCCTGCTTGAAGCACTGTGGGTGGGCATGAGAAGAAGCCCATGATTTGCTTTTTGTTTCTTTGTCTTTTGGGAGCCGGGGGGAGGGGGCATTTGGGGGACTTTGCCTTTGCCATTTTCTCATTACTTTGACACACGCAAATAATGGAAAAATGTCTGTAACTAAACTACAAAGTTGTGGCTTTTTAAATGTTGTTACTTTTTCTCCTCATAGAATGTGATTGTTAAGACATGCACCAGGAAAAAAAAAAGTTTCCATTTGGACTATATGGATCTTCTTTCGGACGATATTAATAAAAATTACATTTTCTTGGCTGTAACTACATGTCTTGGTCTTTTTTTTTTTTAACATGTCACATGGCTGTGTGATGCTAGTTGGCTCCCCTTTGTGGTACGTGAAAGAATCACTGCCAAGGTACAGTTTGGATGTATTTAACTTTTTTGAAATTTACATTACTTTTTGAATGCCTGTTTTTCAATCTTAGTTGAAGTACTTTTTTTTAATTTAACATACTGCATTTTAATGTTACCAGTTTTTGAGAAATGCCTGTTTTTCAATCTGAGTTGAAGTGCTTTTTTTTTTTTTTTTTTAAATTTAAGGTACTGCATTTTAATGTTACCAGTTACCTCCATCACCACTGACTATTTTAGGTGGTATTTGGTGCAAAAAGTTTCATAACCTCTGTACTAGGGAATAGCCCTACAACTGGGTTTGTTTCCTCAAAGTGTGATCATATCTTTAATAAGGCGAGGCAGTTTTATTTCCATCACACATTGTATACATATGACAGTTCAATGTGCTTCATACAAGCAAAGGCACAGCAACTAAAACTATTTACAAACACAACAGCTAACGACATTCAGAAGCAAAGCAGAGAACACTTTTGTTTACGGAAATTATTGAAAGAACATACATTGACAACATTTAAACACAACAGAAGATTTGAAAGAAAAACACTTTAAAGAAACAAAAGTAGGTTTCTAAAATTACAACCAAAAAAAAGTTAAAATGTTAGGAAGACTTTCATCAAAGTTAAGGAAAAAAAAGCAAACATTTTTAAACTGGATTTAAAAGCATTCACACTCAGGACTGACTTCACTTATGTTGGCATCTTATTCTATTTGCATGCAGCGCAACAGCTAAAAGCAACTTCACCATGTTTGAACTCTAACTGACACAGATCTCCAGATGTCGTAAATACCAGTTTCAAGTGAGTCACTTAGTCTCGACTGGAAACAAATGAATACTTCTCTTGTCAGAATAAAACTTGAATCAATGTGTTATATCGGTTCATAGACACTTTAGGTTGCTTGCATGTGACGTAACTTCCACTTTGTATTTTTTTTCACTCAGCATCACGGTGAGGTAGTATTCGACTGCACTGTTCATTTGAAGTCGAATTACTCGTATCTCAAACGCACCACGATATCCTCAACTTTTTGTGAGATGTAATACTACGAAGGAGCTAATGATATTTAAAAAGCTGACCGAATGGGAGTTTCGTAATGGTTTTCCGGGCAGTTTTTCTTCACTTTGCAGTTGCGATACTCAGACACCTCGGTGTCATCCGGCTTGGCACTGAAGGTCTTCACGCCGGTCATCTCCTCGTAGATGGGCGCCGGAGGGCGTGAGGCGGCACGGCTGCGTGCTCGTTTCTGAAAACCAAATCAGTGAGGTGTGTAAACAGTTCATTTCCTGTGCGAAAAAAAAAAATTAAAAATCTGAGTTCTCGCCCCTGACATAGTAGAAGCTCCTTGTGTGGAAACAACACAGTTGTGAAACTGCTGCGGTTAGCGGCAGAAGAGGAACCGGCGACACCCACACAACAAGCAGGTGTTAGTTAACGCTTCTGTTTGCTCCACATCGGCGGTAGGAAGTAACCAATACAAATAACATTGGCACTCATTAAGAAGAGACAGTATGTTAATAAAACTGAGAAAATATTTGATGAAAAGCAAGGGAGGAAGAGGGTGAAGAAACTCGGAGTCACGAAAGCCATACTCCCCATTTATATGAGATGGAACCTCCTCCGCTTAAGAGTAGAGAAGTGGTGCCTTAAGGCAGGGGTCCCCAACCTTTTTTGCCCCACGGACCGGTTTAAGTCAGACAATATTTTCAGGGACCGGCATTTAAGGTGTGGCGGATTAATACAACAAAATAATATGGTATGAGCTGCATGAAAACTGTGGTGTTTTCGAAATATAATAATAAACACAAGGAGCGTCTAATCTGGTCGCAACACTCTTATCGCTCTGGTAATGTTTAATGCCTTCAAAAATACGATACAACGCAAATTCAAAGTGCATGAAAATGACGACTCACCACAGCCCCGAGCTTGATTTTCTGTAATCAGACAGTCCCATCTCGGGGTAATAGGAGACAATGACACCTCAAGTGTGTGGTTTATGTCCAGTCTACTTCGTAATCTTGTTTTAGTCGCTGTTGCTGCAGAAACTCCCCACCTCACACAGGTAGGATGTCGGAAATAGCAACAGTGCTATTGTGGCGATCTCAGAGTATTCAGCCATAACTTTGATCCAGTTGTTTCGAACGTACTTTTAAGGCCGCCGTCATTTGCGATCTCCAAGCAGCTTTTTTACTCATGTACGCTTCAGCGTTTTGTTTTTGAGCGTCGTCGGTCACGTGACCGAGAAGTGTAGCTTGACGTGAGTCAAGCGTGACACAGACGGATGTAACAGAGAATCCGGTAATATTTCAAAATAAAACATCTTTCGTATTCCGAAATAAATAAAAGGAGGAAGAGGGTGAAGAA